GGGGGGGGCGGGGAGGCACCAGGGGAGGGGGAAAGTGAGCCCCACTGCCTCAGGGTAAGGAGTAAGGAGCCCCCACCAAGGTCAAAAGTCAGGCACCACCCTCGATCGAGGGAGCGAGCAAGGGCAGTGCCACCAGGGAGTCCGGAAGCACTGCTCCAAATCAGGTGCTATTTTTTACCAAAAAATCAGGATAAGGTGTCAAATATAGCCAGAGGCCCAGGGCTCGAAGACCAACCTCCATCTCTGAGCGGAAAAGCGGACTACTCCGGGAATGGTCATTGGGTGGGTTTCCTGTTGCCCTCAGCAGCCCCCCAGCCCCTGCCACTGGCATCCCCAACCTCCTCCTGCATCCCAGGAGAGTGGAAGGGGCTCTCCAGGCCTCAGCCCAGGGAAGGTGCTGCTCTGGAGGCCAGGGGTCACCCACAGCCCACCTTCTATACCTTGGGCAGGGGTGGGGGGTAGGGAAGGCAGGGGCTATCAAGGAGATTCTCCGGGAGCAATAGTTATGGCAACTACAAGAATACAGATACACGGATGGGCAGGGACTGTTTGGGGGGGGGCGGGGTGTCAAGTCGGGGGCAGCTTAACCCCTCTGTCAGGGCACCCCAGGAATGGGGCAGGGCCTGTGCCTGTGCCTGTGATGTACACCATTCCCTGGGTGCCCTGAAGGGCTTTAGCTTAACCCATTGAGCCATGACCCTAGGTACAGCAGCCACTGCCAGGTCCCCTCAGAGTCATGGGAGGGGGGCTTTGTCTCCCCAGCCTGTCCTCTTCCATGCCCTAGAGGAGGCCTCACGCCTTCCCTGTGGAACTGGGAGCCTTGGTAGCTGACCCAGCACTGACACTAGCCACCCTCCGGCCCCCCCTCTGCCCAGAGGTCACATGGTCCCAGATCACTGTGCCCTGACAGCCCTGCTTCCTTCTTTCACTTCTGCAAAGTTGGGGTGAAGGCTGCATCCCTGCACGTCCATTTTGGGAACTTACCAGCTCCCCATCCCTCCCTGCCTTTGTACACTCCCCTTTACCCTTTCCAGTGGGGCAGGAAGAGGGTGTAGAAGGGTGTTCCTAAGCTCCCCTGCCCCCTCAAGGCAAGGGCAAACTCATTTGGGAGTACTCTCAAAAGGGGACACACACACACACACACACACACACACGTCTGGAGGAATTGGTTTGGGCAAGAAGAGGCAGCAGGTGTCCTAGGAGCAGTGTGGGGCAGGTGGATCTGGGCCAGCAGCAGGGCAGCCTGAGGGCAGGGCAGGGCATGGTCACAGTAACCCTGTCCCAGGGCCACCCTAGTCCCAGGCCTGGGGGTTAAAAAAACCCATCCCCTTTGACAGCTGGTGCTCCCCCACGCCCCCCCAGAGGGTGGTAACTTCTGGGAAGGGGGCTGGGTGGCAGGAGCTGACTCAGGCTGCCAAACTCAGCTGGTGGGGTGGGGGCGGCCTGCACGTGGCAGAGGCGGCTTGGTGTGGGGGTGGGGGGTGTCTCACTCACTTGGATGGGTGCTGTGCTGAAATGGATCTTCCTGCTGGGCACCGGGTCTTCTTCTTCTGAGAGCCCCGGGATCTCCACGCACCCCGACTCCGGCTCGTAAGGGGGTTCCCCATCCTCCTCGTCCTCCTCGTCGTCCTCCTCCTCCTCCAGCGCACTGCCCCCAGAGTCCTCCCCGAGCCCGCTGTACGCGCTCACGTCCACTAAGTCCGCTTCGGAGAAGTCCTCCTTCTTGAATTCATCCGCCTCCTCCGGGGCCAAGTCCAGGGCCCGGCCATTGCCCACCCCCTTATCAGTCACTGCAGGGGCCGCCGCCTCCTCTTCCTCCTCGGGGGCCGCCTGGGCTTTGGGCTCCTCGGGCACGGCGCTGGCTGTGGTTGCCACAGCGCCTCCATTCTCCAGGGCCGCATGGACGGTCACCTCGGCCTGGATCACTTCCCCGGGAGCTTCGGCCTCCGACTCCCCGCTCTCCTCCACCTCCACCGGCTTGATCTTGCGCACCTCCCGAGG